GAGAAATAGGTGAGAGAGATTAAGAAGTATGAACTTCCAGTTGCAAAATAAGTGTACAGTGTATATAGTCAATAACTATGGGTATCTATATATATGGTGACATCATAACTAGACTTACTGTGGTGATCATTTTGAAATGCATAGAAATATTGAATCACTATATTGTACACCAAGAACTAACATAGTGCTGTAGGTCAATTATACTTCAAAAACAAAAAAGCAAACTTAGAGAAAAAGAGATGAGATTTGTGGTTACCATAGGTGGAAGGGGAAACTGGATGAAGGCAGTGAAAGGTACAAACTTATTTATAAGATAAATATTAGAGATGTAATGTACAACATGATAAATATAATTAACATGGCTGTATGTTATATATGAAAGTTGTTGAGACTAAATCCTAAGAGTTCTCATCACAAGAAAAAAAATCTTTTTTCTATTTCTTTAATTTTGTATCTATATGAGATGATGGATGTTCACTCAACTTACTGTGATAATCATTTCATGATGCATGTAAGTCAAATCATTATTGCTGTACACCTTATACTTACACAGTACTATATGTCAATTATACCTCCATAAAACCATTTCTAAATGTTTCTAAACCTAACAATTACTTTCAACTGTTTTCACTCCCCAGGATTGACTATTATTGCTTATGCAGACTATTAAAACAGCCTCCAAACTGATCACTTACTGCTGTCAAAATCTCAAAGCTCAGCTTAGATTCTGTCATTCCCCTATTAAAAAGCTTTCAATGAACTTGAACAGGTATTTGTACATGATAGCATTATTCACAAAAGCCAAAAGCTGGAAATAACCCAAACATCCACTGATGGATGAATGGATAAACAAAATGTGGTATATACATATAATGGAATATTATTCAGCCTTAAAAAGGAAAGAAATTCTGATACATGCTACAACATGGATGAGCCTTAAGGACTTTATACTAAGTGAAATAAATGAGAAACACAAAGTCCAACAGTGATTACCGGGAGCTCGGGGGTGGGAGGTAGGTGTGGGAGATGTGGAGTTAGTATTTAATGGGTACAGAGTTTCAGTCTGGGAAGGTGATAGTGGTGATGGTGTACAATGATGTGAATGTACTTAATGCCACTGAAATGTATACTTAAAAATGGTTAGAATGGTAAATTTTATGTTATGTATATTTTATCATACACAAAAATCCAATGATATATTAATAACAGACAAAGGAGTACAAATTACTCATCTTGTTTTGTTTTCAAAGTGGCTTTTTTTTTTTTTTTTTTTTGGCTGCCTTGGGTCCTCGTTGCTGCACACAGGCTTCCTCTAGTTGTGGCGAGCGGGGGCTACTCTTGGCGCATGGGCTTCTCATTGCGGTGGCTTCTCCTGTTGCGGAGCACGGGTTCCAGAGCGCAGGCTCAGTAGCTGTGGCGCACGGGTTTAGTTGCTCCACAGCATGTGGGATCTTCCCAGACCAGGGATCAAACCTGTGTCCCCTACATTGGCAGACGGATTCTTAACCAGTGTGCCACCAGGGAAGTCCCTACTCATCTTGTTTTAATCCCACTTCTGAGTGTCCTATAGAATATTAGTTCAGTAATAATGTTAAGTAATTATGTATAAAAAGATTAAAAAGTATGGAAAAGGCTGGATTACATAAAGAAAACCAGGACTTTTCCAAGTTTTAGTAAGTTATTTTGCATTGTGAAACTCTGAAAGGGCCTTGGACCATGTAAATGAACTCAGAAAATATTCAATTACATCAGTCTTATACATGTTGAAAAGAGTTAATGATTTAACTGCATTATACTTACAGTAAAAAAGGAAGTCCCACAAAAGCGAGTACATATTCCTCGTACAAAACCTTCGTGTGCTTGTATCATACGAATACATTTTCGTTTAGTTAAGTTCCAAATTCTAACCTACGATAAAGCATACTAGGAAATTTCAGTGACTTATAAATTAAAAACGTTCAGGCACAGGAGTACATTCCAAGAAAAATAAATTCAACACTGAAAAGGCTGTAAATCACTCTACCAGACAGCTAAAGACAAAATCCTCTAGATTAAAATAATGCAATGTCTATGGATAAGAACATCAACAAACAGAAAACTGAACCTGTTAAATACTCTGTTGATTCTAGTTTAAAGTGTTTCAAAGCTTTCTCTCTTTGCCAGAGTGGGGAAATTAAGTGTTGAATTGTTAATAACATCCTCTGTGGGAAAAAACTCACAGTTAAATATCTGTACTGTAAACATGCCCTATTACTTACTGTCAAATAGCCTTAAGTTATACATTTTAAATATCTTAGGTTTAGATAAGAAACTACTGAAATTACCAATTCAAATAGAATTTACTCTTGAGAATTAAAAGAAAACAGAACATAGAAAAATAAAATCAAAACAGTTAAAACCCACAGTAACGCACAACTAAAGGAAGAACATTTGTAATATAACTATTTTTAGTTTAAAATATCAACGTTTAGAGTGACACTTGCCTCTCCATCACATGCCCCAGAAAGGACAGTAGCCAGACTCTTCGGATGTTTAGCCAAGCAACTGACTCCATCTCGGTGACCATCCAGGGAAGCAAGGAACGGTTTCGCAAAAACCCGTTCCAGTTTGGTGGCATTTAAAGCTCTTACATATTCTCGTGGGACCTCAAAAGGATGTAAGGTAGGATCATAGTTTCTTGGAACTGAAATAAGAATGATTCCTCTTAATAAAATAATTCACATTTAATATTTCCTTCCTCAGCTAATCATTCTATTTGTTACTCAAAAAACCTGTATCAGGGACACTGTCTCTGCCTAGCACTGTGGAGAATACAAAAGTTGAAGACCCTTTGTCCAAAACCTTTCTGAAATTACCAGAAAATCATGGAATTGTCTTCCTTATTTTATGTTTCACAGAGCTCCAATACTTCAATCTTTTCATTTTGTTATCTATTAACACTTCCATCCAGAAACTATAAAGAAATAGGAAGATGTTATAAGAAATAAGATCCTTAATAACAAGATCAGGTAACTAATAACTTCCTAACCTCAAGATTCTGTGACCAGCCAGTCATTCACTCATTCCTTCATTCAGACATTAATAATGCAACTCCTAGGTACCAGGTGATGTCTAAATACAGGGTATAGAACCAAATACGATTGTACCACTCTCTGCAAGCTCAGTCTGATGGGAAAGACTGATAGTCACAATAATAACGAGGCAATGTAATAAAAACTCTGATATTAGTATAAAAATATGTGACAGAAGCATAGAAGGAGAGTGCTTAAGTGTGTACAGGATGGGGGGAAATTTGCAGGGGATAAGTTTGGAAAGACTATTGTTCAGAGAAAGCTTCCCAGAGCTAGGAGAGAAACTGGGTAAGGGCTTGTGACACAGGATGCCTCAAAGAGAATGACTGAAATGCACTCAGACTGGCAAGAGTAAATGTAAGCTAGTTGTGGGAAAAGTAATCACTGGTGAAACTGAAGAGGAAGATGGGACCAAGTTCAAGGAATAGGGATGAGGTTAAGTCCAAATGACACAACCTAATTTACATTTTAGAAGCATTACTGTTTTGTTACTTAACCTGTAAACATTTTGTGAGCAGAGACCATATATTTACTTATCATTGCTCATTTTAAATATATATATATATATATAAAATCTCCACGACTCAATGATAGTGAAATATTGTTCCAGCCTCACCTTCTACGGCTTAACCCCTGACTCAAACTCCGAAGACATGGCCCTTTTCTTATGCCTTAAGTTTATTCCTGCCTTAAGGCATTGCACCTGTTATTCTCTTCGCTTAGAATAGTCTGTTCATACATGGATGGTCCCTTGTCATTTAGGTATCACGAGTTATAATTCATAAGCAGTCAGCATGTTAATGGGGGAACAAGACACCCAGTAACAGAAAAATAAAGCTCATTAATTTCATTTTAGCCATTCCCACATCAAACTTCTCCACAAGTTTTTAAGAGAGGACTGATGGCTTTACGGTTCACCTTTATCTCTTCCCACATCCAGAAGGACGTAACTTTAAGGAGTAAATTAGCCAAAAGTTAGAGCAACGGGAAAGGTTTAAAGGTCTTCTCAATTGTTAAATCCTTCAATCCACTAGTTTGGCTCACTCAAGTTCCACTTTTCTTCAACAGGAACCTGAGAACAATCAGGGAGCAGCAGCTGGAAAGGGGGAGGTGGAATCATTTCCCTATATAACTAACTTTCCCTCTTACCACTAGAGAGAGTTATTAGAAAAAGTACTTGAAGACAAGGGTTCTGCTACCCAGTACCAGAACGGCTTTATGCCCTGGCGAAAGGGAACAGGAAAAGAACGAGAGTGGAACACCAGGCTCCCCTCCAGCTTTATTCGGTGAAAGCCGAGGCCAGACCCAAGCCTGGCGGACTCCCGACTAACTTGTCTCACCTCTCTGTAAGTCCAGTTTGGTTTCGCGGACATAGCTGTCCGGGTTCCGACTCAGCATCTTCACCTTCATCTTGCTCCTAGCTCTTCCCGACTCCACGAGGCTCCCCCTTTCAGGTTGCTGTTGCCGCCGCCTCCTCCTCCACGAACACACCACTTCCGCTTCTTCTAGACTACTTTCTGTCACGTGACTTCCACGGAGCGGAAACCGGGCTTCGCTGGGCCCTGCGGTGCTCCGTAGTTTTGCGGACAAAGGTTGGCCGGGGGCGGTGTTTCAGTGGTGTTCTCCCATCCACGCCCTTCGGCCTAAGCCAGCCGCCGAGGTGGGCGAGGCGGGGCGGGGAGTTGGCGGAGGCGCCCCGCCCTCTTCTCACTCTCCTCCGGGTAGGCGTGGCGTGCGGCAGCGCACTTCTCCTGTACCCCTGGCTCCTGGGTCTCTAGGCTTCATCCCGCGCCCAGGCGTGTGACTCCACGCGCGGGTCCCGGAAGTGGACTCGTGCCCTGCGGTTTCTGCTCCAGCGTGGCGACCGTCGCCACGGTGGCGGCCACTGCATCTCGTGCCACTTCCACGGCACCACCGGGCCCTGAGCCCATGACGGGCCAGAGCCACTCGGCGTCCGGGTCGTCGGCGTGGAGCACAGTATTCCGCCACGTCCGGTACGAGAATCTGGTGGCGGGCGTGAGCGGCGGGGTCCTTTCCAACCTCGCGCTGCACCCGCTGGATCTCGTGAAGATCCGCTTCGCCGGTAAGAAACCGCTCAGACCCTGGGCTTCTCCTTGCTGTCACCCCGAACTGAGTGATAAAAGACGCAGACGGAGGCATTGGCCTCTCCTGCCTCTTCCATACGGCAGGTGAGGCGAGCGTTGAAGAAGATGCTCTTTGTCCGGGCTCGCCTGGGGCCAGATTTGAGGGAGGGGAGTTTGGTAAAGTGGTCTGGCAAACGTCGTCCCCTTTCCCTAATACTGAGGGATGAGGAGCATGGATATAAAAGTCTGAGAAAAGTTCTCATTGGTATAGAACGTGGGACTTAAAGCCTGATTTATAAAATAAGAAAGGGTTTATCACATTTTAGGGCTTAACCCTCACAGGTGTAAATCATTCACCCTTGGAGGTACAGGTTTCTCCCGCTTTTCGAAAGTTCGCTTTACAGCATCAAGCCGCCATAACTTTGAACTGTGTCTGTGAGCATCTGTGCTTTATCTGGATTTATTTTGTGCATCCATTAGCAAGGTGTGTGTTAAGGTAATTGCTTCTTCGCTTTATGCAGTTTTGGCTTATTAAAGCTTTCATGCTTTACTTTCGCATAGCCAGGGAAACCTGTACTTTGAAAGCTAAGGATAGTCACGTGTTTGGCCTCAGGGCTGAGAGGGAAATGCAAGTGCTTGGAGTAGGGAGTAATCCTTAGCAGAGGGTTAGGAATGAGGTTGGGATAGAATTCTCTTGAAAGTTTGTTTCTGGTGTTTACAGTGTCCAGTGAAGGAATGTCCTGTGAAGGAATAAGTAGCTAGAATTCAAATAGTATTGTTCTTTATTTAGCTTTATTGAATTAATTTCATTGAGTTAAGTGAATTAAGTATATTGCAATTAACAAAGTACTTTAACAGATAAACTCAACATTAAATTCTGGAAATGATAGCTTCAAAGAAGGTCTTTGATAACTTTATTTGGAAAGTATTTTCTGTCATTTCTGTTCTCTTATTACTATTACTAAAAGTGGGGTCCGGCTGCTCGCCATTCAGAAGCCAATGAAGAGGCAAAGTTGGTGGAAGGGAAAGTTTGCTTTATTTCAGAGGCAGGCATCTGGGGGAGGGAGGGCCGCTCGTGTCCAAAGGCTGATTCCCACCCCCTCTTCCTGGACAGTCAGTGGGTAAGACCTTGTATAGGCAGAAGGAGGGGGCTACATGTAGAAACAACACAGGCAACTCTGACAGTCATCTTGAAATTGGTCATGCAGCATAATCTTGATTGTTTTAAGTACAGTTAGTCTTCAGTTCCAGGGTCGGTTTGTTCCCATTTCTTTGAGGCCAGTTCTTGGAACTGTGGCAGCTTATGTCATGGCTAATCTAGTCATCATGTAGTTAACTTCTTCCACCTGAGGAGCATTTCAGTATCTACAAAACAGCTCAAAGGATATGGCTCAGAATATTATCTACAGCCCTTGAAGAGGAGCTAAAAGTCCTTGACTTTGCTGAATGAGTAAATTGTTATTATTTGGTCCTGTTTGACCGTTTTCCTTTGCTTCCATATTTTCTCAGTTCTCTAATTAAACTTATTCTTTTTTGTTTGTTTGTTTGTTTGTTTTCCGGTACGCGGGCCTCTCACTGTTGTGGCCTCTCCCGTTGCGGAGCACAGGCTCCGGACGCGCAGGCTCAGCGGCCATGGCTCACGGGCCCAGCTGTTCCGCGGCATGTGGGATCTTCCCAGACTGGGGCACGAACCCGTGTCCCCTGCATCGTCAGGCGGACTCTCAACCACTGCACCACCAGGGAAGCCCTAAACTTATTCTCTGACCAAAGTTTTTCTACAGGCAAAAGGCAGGCGGAGGATGTGGGGGGAAAGGACCATAGGGTCCTGCTCTATTTCATTACTACAAGTTAATTTCTACCATGAGAATTAGATCAGAAGTTAATTATCTTAAAGAGTTAGGTAATAGTATTCTGTTCACCTGGTGTATATTGGTCTTTTAACATTTGTAGACTGCTGTATGGGATACAGAAGCACCTAAAGTTCTTGCCCTCAGGAAATTTACATTCTAATGGTAGGTTTGAGACTTAGTCAAATAAAAAGTAATTGTAGACAACATAAAATTAAGGGCAAAATGGAATAAATCCAAATACGAAAACGTGAGTAGAGATAGACTGTTAAGAAAAGTGTAGGGCTTCCCTGGTGGCGTGAGCCATGGCCGTTGAGTCTGTGCGTCCGGAGCCTGTGCTCCGCAACGGGAGAGGCCACAACAGTGAGAGGCCCGGGTCCCGCAGGAAAAAAAAAAAAAAAAAAGTGTAGATTGGTGATGACCACAGATATATATCTGTATCTGTAAATGTTCCATTAGATCCTTTTTTTCATTATAAATTTATTTATTTAGTTAGTTAGTTATTTTTGGGTGTGTTGGGTCTTCGTTTCTGTGCGAGGGCTTTCTCTAGTTGCGGCGAGCGGGGGCCACTCTTCATCGCAGTGCGCAGGCCCATCACTGTCGCGGCCTCTCTTGTTGCGGAGCACAGGCTCAGTAGTTGTGGCTCACAGGCCTAGTTGCTCCGCGGGTTGTGGGATCTTCCCAGACCAGGGCTCGAATCCGTGTCCCCTGCATTGGCAGGCAGATTCTCAACCACTGTGCCACCAGGGAAGCCCTCCGTTAGATCTTGAGGTTCCCCAGAGAAGGACTAAAATTTTTGACAGCTGGAGAGGAGGCAAGAAGCCATTGAAAATCAGTGGAAATTATGGAGTGTTCTCCCTAGAAGAAAACCCACAGAGGCATATAATTTCCATAGTTTACCATGCACACACAAATAATAATTATGACAACAGGGAACATTCATTGAGCATTTACTTGCAGCAAGAGCAATGAACTAAGAACCTTACTTGCATTATATCATTTACTACTCTGAACAACCCTGTGAATTTATTATCCCCGTTATACAGGTGAGAATAATTGAAACTGACTAACTTGCCCAAGTCACAAGTTCGTAAAGATAGATCTGAATTTGAATCCAGGCAGGCTAACTCAAGTACGCTCTGGCACTTAACGACTTACCCCAGTACCTCTAGGAATTCCTGGTATACTGTGGCTTGAACATGAAGGCAGGAATTCTGGACTTGGCTGCAGGTGCAGACCTATATGACTTGGTATTTCTCTTCTGCAGCATTTTATGTAAGAGCAGAAGAGGTGATGGTTGAGGTGATCATTGAGGAATAGTGTGGTTGGCCTGATGAGTTTAAGACAGTGCTGTGAAGCAAACTGTGCCTGAGAAAAGGGAATTCTTGGTACCTGAGAATATTGGTAGTCTTGGTGAAATGGAGAGAGTATTAGGAGACCAGTAGGGCTGAAGTGATTGAGATAGGATTGGGGGACAAAATTAAAGATCTAGGAGTTGGAGCAGAACTTTGTAATAACAAGCCCATAGTGTGGCTGTGAAATGGTGATAAGAAAGAAGAAAACTGGGCCTCCCTGGTGGCGCAGTGGTTGGGAGTCCGCCTGCCGATGCAGGGGATACGGGTTCGTGCCCCGGTCCGGGAGGATCCCACATGCCGCGGAGTGGCTGGGCCCGTGGGCCATGGGCGCTGAGCTTGCGCATCCGGCAACGGGGGAGGCCACGACAGTGAGAGGCCCACATATCAAAAAAAAAAAAAAAAAAAAAAAAAAAAAGAAAGAAAGAAGAAAACTTAGGAAGATGAATAACTAAAATCAAAATAGTTGCCTGGCCACCAGCATTAGTACTAGAGTTTTTATGCTTTCATAAAATTAAGCCCTTATAATAAAATTATAATACCTAGTGATGGGGGTATTAGTCTTGACCATTAAACCAAACCTGCAATATTTCAATGAGTTCAGGTACAGCTTGGAACTCAGAGGTGTCCAGAGTAGTCGAAGGATTAGGAATCATTTCATACGAGAAATGACTGGAGGAACTAGTTTAACTTGGGGGGTGAGAGGGACTTAAGGTATTTAGAGAACTGCCATGTGGGAATGGGAGCTGCCTTATTGAAGGTGATCTGAAGGGCAGACAGAGGTTGGGTGGAAATTACAGGGAAGCAGATTTTGGCCTGGCAAAGTGCTGGTGCTCAGAAGTGAAACTGGCAATGACTGGCAGTGGTTCAGCAGTTGGATGACAGAGGTTAGAAAATATTCTTGTGTTGGGCGGAAAGGTCACTTGAGGTGATTATTGAGGCCCCTTATAACTTCAAGACTTAAAGTATTCAAGATGACACTTTAAGTCATCAAGATTGATGAGAGGGAGCCCCAACAAAGAATGTGAGTGAGGTGTAAAAATAGTAATTTTCTAAAATAACCTGAAATCCTAATCTGTAGGTTAATCAAGGAACCAAAATATAGAGCCCGTAACAAGAATAGCATACAGTCAAGTTTTGTATGTATGTGGTATTGCAAGACCCAGTAGCATAAATAAAGTAATACTTACCGAATGTTTGCTATGTGCCAGGCATGCTTTTAAGACTTTATATGTATTAACTCACTTAATTCTCTGTAACTTTTTAAGTTAGGTTCTGTTATTTTTCCCATTTTGTGGATGAGAAAACTCAGGCACAGAGTAATCTAGTAACTTACTCAGGGTCACACAGTAAGTGTGGACTCACTTGGAATTGGGGTTCAAACCCAGGAAGTCTGATTTCATAGCATATGCTGTTAGACTGAAACCATAAGTGGGTAGTTTGGCATAACTAAAGGGTAAAATGCTAAAGGTTGAAATGAAAATTATTCCAGAAAGTTAAGCTTCTGGATTGACACATCTTTTATGCCATGTAAAAATGGAAGCCAGGTCTGGATGTTAGGAATGAGATCAGGACTAGAGATGTAGAAACCATAGCGTAGGGATAGAAATTGAAGCTACTTAAAGATTGAGAGACTACCCTGTTGAGTGGAAAGACTGCCTAAAAAATCAGCATTTAAAGGATGGGCAGAAGAGAAGGAGGCTGCAAAGGAAATTTAGTGGCCAAAGAAGTAAGAGGAAAATCAGGAGCGAGTGAAACTAGCCCAAAGAAGTGTGTTTTAGGAGGTAAACGATGTCAGGT